CAACACTTGTTTTAAGAAGCGAGAGGAGCATTTAATCACATACAAAAGTGGTGTCTCAAAATCACAGATTGATTTCTTTTTGGTTAAGAATCCGGACAGAAGATTGTGTACTAATTGTAAAGTGATTCCAGGAGACGGGGTGAGTGCCCAACATAGAGTACTTATCCTTGATGTATGTTTTAAGAGTACCAGGCAAAAATACCATCAAGTGGCAAAACCCAGGATTAAGTGGTGGCAGTTAAAAGGAGAGAAGCGGGAGTTATTCAATAGGACTCTTTTGAAGGAAGGGAATTGGGAGTTGCAGGGAAATGCAAACATGATGTGGGAAGAGATAGCTACAAGGGTTCGTTTGGTAGCTAAATCAATTTTGGGAGAATCCAAGGGTCCTGGTCAAAGAGATAAGGAGACTTGGTGGTGGAATAAGAGTGTGCAAGAGAAAGTCAAACAGAAAAAAAATTGTTTTAAGGCCATACACTTGTGCAATAGTGTAGAGAACCAGGAAAAGTATCAGTTGGCTAAAAAAGAGACAAAGAGAGCAGTGAGCGAAGCACGTACTAAAGCTTATGAAGGGTTTTATCAGGAGTTAGGAACAAAGATGGGAGAAAGAAATATTTACAAGATCGCGAAGCAAAGGGAGAGAAAAAAGAGAGATCTGGATCAAGTTAAGTGTATAAAGGATGAAGATGGTAAATTGTTAGTTACTGATGGTGATATTAAGGACAGATGGGAGGCTTACTTTTACAAGTTGTTTAATGAGGGAAGCAATTATGCGACTCAGGACTTGCAGGACTTGCTAATTAACGAAGATGATCGGAATTTGGCTTTCTACCGCAGGATACGTATCGGAGAGGTTAAGGCGGCTCTCAAGAAAATGGACAATGAAAAAGCCGTTGGGCCTGATGGTATCCCTATTGAAGTTTGGAAATGTTTGGACGATGAGGGGGAGGTATGGCTAACCAAGCTTTTTAATGAAATTCTACGCTCTAAAAATATGCCGGATGAGTGGAGGAAAAGTATTTTAGTTCCTATTTACAAGAATAAAGGAGACATTCAAAACTGTGCAAGCTACAGGGGGATAAAACTTATGAGTCATACAATGAAGTTGTGGGAAAAAGTGATAGAATATAGATTGAGGTTGGAGACTTCTATTTCGAAAAACCAATTTGGATTTATGCCAGGGAGATTCACATCGGAAGCAATCTATTTACTAAGGGGGTTAATGGAGAGATATAGAAGTAAAAGAAGAGATTTACATATGGTTTTTATTGACCTGGAAAAGGCTTATGATCGTGTGCCAAGAGAAGTATTGTGGAAGGCTTTGGAAAAGAAAGGTGTACGGGTTGCGTATATCAAAGTCATACAAGATATGTATGAGGTGGTAACTACCAGTGTAAGGACGCCTGGGGGGGAGACAAAGGACTTTCATATTAAGATTGGCCTACATCAGGGATCCTCTCTGAGTCCGTACTTGTTCAACATTGTTCTGGATGTTCTAACTAAACCTGTTCAAGAAAGAATCCCTAAGTCCATGCTCTTCGCGGATGATATAGTTCTTATGGCGGAATCGAAAGAAGAGATTAACACTAGTTTGGAGTTATGGAGAAGGACTTTGGAGTCGAAAGGTTTCCGTTTGAGCAGGAACAAAACAGAATATATGCATTGTGATTTTGGAGGGAGGCAAGGTAATAGGGATTTGGAGGTGAGGATGGGAGAGCAAATTATTCCTCAAGTATCAAAGTTTAAATACCTAGGATCCATTATACAGGAGGATGGGGAAATTGATGGAGACATTTCTCATAGAATACAAGCTGGCTGGTTAAAGTGGAGGAAAGCTACCGGAGTTATTTGCGATAAGAAGGTACCTGAGAAACTTAAAGAAAATTTTATCGGACTGCTATAAGACCAGCTATGATGTATGGTAGTGAATGTTGGGCAATAAAGGAAAACAAGAGCACAAAGTCGGAGTAGCAGAAATGAGGATGTTGAGATGGATGTGTGGTCATACAAGAAAAGATAGGATTCGAAATGAAAAGATCAGGAACAAGAGTCGGTGTGGCACCTATCCAAGAGAAAATGGTTGAAAATCGCTTAAGATGGTTTGGACATGTGCAGAGAAGGCCTTTGGAGGCCCCGGTGAGGAGGGTGGATCAAACAAGATGGAGTCCCATAAAAAGAGGCAGGGGAAGACCGAGAAGAACGCTGAATGAGGTCATTGAACGAGACCTCCTAATCAACAACATATCTAAGGATTGGGTTGTTGACAGAGCACGATGACGTCGTGTGATTCATGTAGCCGACCCCACCTAGTGGGATAAGGCTTGTTGTTTGTTGTTTGTTTGTTAGTGTCAGAAAGTTTTTCCAAATATTATTTTTCCTCTGAAAGCTGCTCTTGTGATGAACTGATGTTTACATATGCGATTGTGCTTTTGGTTAGATTGGGTTATTGGGAGATTAAATTTGTTAAACTAAATAATTATGTGGATTAACATGAATTAATTAATTAATGAGAATATTTAAATTTAGTTCAGTCCTAACTTAATACTAAGCACACTACAGATCGAAATAAGCTGTGTTATGCATAAGCCTACTTAAGTAGATGCTTCAACCTACAATCTTTTTCAGGAGAAATTACTATAGGGTCTCAAAAAAGGAACATATTTACCGGAAAAAAGTCCTGTAATAACTGTACAGCTTCTAATAACAATAGGTTCCATTCGAGACTTTCTGTCAAAAAGAGGACTGTTTAGAATGCGATCACACATATTCATTCCTAGTTTTGCTACATGCAAGTCCATTTTCAATGACTTCTAAATATTTTATCTTACTGTTATGTGTAGCTTGGCCTTAGATCTGAAATCGTGATTGAGGATCATATTCCTGAAGAACATCATGGTGCACCGCGCAGATCCGGGAGAGGTTCCCCATTCCAAACGAGAAAATCAGAAAAAGCAAGCCTACACACACAGAAGCATTGATATGTGCAGATCTTTTACCCCCAACAGAAATTTTTAGGGAGCCTTGTCTTCCAAGTCAGTTCCTTTGATTCTTAATATAAGAACAAGTTAAAAATTTGATTTAATCCTAAATATAAGACCTCAATCTATTTTATCACTCATCTTTTTCCAAAATGTTCCTATAAATTGCAAGGAATTCCTACCAAGAGATCATTCTAATCATCTATTGAAGATATCAATGTACATTTATAATAAGTAACCAACTTAACTAATTTTCTTAATTTCTCTAAATTAGTTATTTAGTTCTTAATATTAATAACCAGAAGTAATACAATACAATAGAAATTTATATTAATTTAATAGCAGTTGTGCCGGCCAAAAATTGATTCGGGGATTTAGTCATAGTGCTGGAAATGGTTTGTCTTTTCGGATGGCCACAGTTGAATGTGACAATCTGTTACTTGGCAGTGATTATTCATCCATCGCTATATTTTACTTTCATCAACAAATTTTGTGTGTGATTAGGATCCCCTTTGATTACATATTCTATACAGCTAAAGAGAGATAAATATATAATAGTTGACTTTAGCCACCATATAGAAGTACAAGTCCCCCAATACTTGTCAGGTTACACAGTTAGAGAGGACTTAAGTTAGCATGTATGTCTAATCTAATTCACCTTCCCTCTTCATCACTATCAATCAACATATCAATACAATATAAAAAGACCTATAGCAAGTTGCACTATTTACGAGTCCTTGTGAAATTGATCCATTCAACTTCAATTTACAGCCTGAGCAGAATATCATGCCGGATATTCTGCATGTTACTCAACAATTTCCATCTGATATCAGCAAAAATGTCAGCCATAGGCATCAATTGCATAGCAGCTATAGCCAGTTTGTGGGCATCATTCATAAAAATTACTTCTTGAGTTCCTCTCATTGTCATAATCTATAACCTAACCATAGTAAGTACTTTGAACCTCTGCTAGCTGCTACAGATGTAGGGAAATGGAGTGAGAATAAGAGAGGGGTTACACGGGCTCCATCCCATCTACACAACCAACCCCCCCCCCCTTCAAAAAAAAACCCCAAAAATCCCCTCCTCATGCAAACCATAGCTTGAGGCTTAACAATAAGATTCTACCATTTCACATGCAAAGCATGCAACAGCCAGTATCTTTTGTAGCAGTACTAATGGAGTTATTTTAGTCTAGCTGTAACAAGAGCCACGGGCACTCCATATAAACAGGGCAACAATAGCATCGAGTGATTTTGCTAAGGTTACAGCCGGAGATTCACTAGACCCATTCTTTGACAAGCAATATTACATAATCTGGGACTCATTAACCATGTGGAGCACAAGAGATATGCCCAGTGCCATCGTCCTCTCCTCATGCTCTTGTTCTTGATAAGGTTCATCAATAAAGAAACCTCATACGATGAAGAGTAAACCGATGGATTGATCAATGATAATCATTATGATAATGTTTCATCTTAGGAAGAAGAAGAGTTTATTCAAACATGTAGATTAATGCTAAGAGTTAGAACATTAGTTAAACAACGATTTAAATTCTTAATGTTTATAGCTAATCAGAGCATTTTGAATCCCTTAATCTACAAGTGCACTCAATGCTACCAATTAATATGAATCCAACCCCTGAATGTGGAACACATAGTCAATAAGCTCCACAGAAGCAGACATGAATCATACAGCTCAATTAATAAATGAACCTAGTCAAAGAATCCTAAACACTCATAAACCATGCAGCATGCTGGATTTTAAAACCGTACTTTCTAAAATTGATTGGCTAACCTTAACTTATAGACTATAGAAGATGGCATGTCTTATATCCTGTCTCAAAAACTCAACTGCCCACTTTGATCCCTAAATCAACTTCAATAGAGTGGAATCTCTATGGCCCTGTATTGGTGACTCAAAAAACAGCCATAAATTTTTAATCCTGAATCTCCAGTTAAAGTTCAAAAATAGAGTCTAAACTAAATGGCACTTAATATTTACCAAGAGGGGAAAATAACCAGCTGATCAGAAGGCACAAGATACTGATTCTAAATGTGTTACAAAGTCGAGATAAACTGTAATCAATGTAAATATCGGAATCCAAAAGCAGACAGAAGCAGTATAGACCTCACATCATCCATTATCGCCAATATTAAAAGCCACGATTAAAGTAGCATCAAACACTATAAGCTCACTTATCACAACGAACAGCTCAGTCTTAGTAAGTAATAACTAAAGGGGGGGGGGGAAGCCGCCATTGAACAATATTAGAACTTGAAACTAATTATTTAAAACAGAAAATAAATTTCTGTTGATAATAAGACTAAAGAGTACTATCCTTCAAGCCTTTGATTACTTCTGCGAGGAATTGGGTCCCCTCTTCTTCCCGAATCCTACCACTGCAATTACAAGAACAAGGATCAGAATCAGGGAACCAAAATTACAATATACCAAGAAAAAACTGATATACATAGATATAGAAATCGAGCAATTTTTTGAACTAACCGGCAGTGACGAATCGGCGATTGTACTGCATGCGCTTGTAAGCGCGTCCCCGGGGCTTCTTCTTCTTGTCCTGCTTGGCCACTTTGGGGGTTTGCCCTCTCACTTTTCCAGCACGAGCCAACGATCCATGAACCTTACCTGCAATTCCGGTAAACCCAATAAATCAAAACAATCAGAAATCCAAAGAGATCGAGAGTTGGGTAACATAGCAAAATCAGTGAGTTGAAATCAACCCATGTTTGTGGATTGACGAGTTCGCCGCCAATTGCTTGTTGTACTCGGCACAAAAACAATAACAAGGAACAGAATCCTCGGGTAGAAAGCTAGGGTTCGATTTTTAATCAAATGATTTATTTCGGCTTTTGACTTGGGAACTTGGGGTAATTACACTTTTACCCAATACACCAATTTAATTATGATTTAGAACTAAAATATTTTAAGCTACTTAATAAAAATTTAATTGCTTAAATTAATACACCTCTGGTCCTCAATATAAAACTTCATTTGACTTTTATTTTGATCCTAAATATAAGATTTCAATCCACTTTATCTTTTATATTTATGTATTTTTTTTAAAAAAAGTCTTTCTAATAGTGATAATTCAAGCTAATATACTTGATTGGCAATGATATTTTAGAAAAAATAACACATATTCATTATAAAATAACTAATTTAATTTATTTTTTTAATATTCTCAAATTAGTTAACTAATTCTTATAATTAGAACCCGAGATAACATATACTAACTAATAAATAATAGAAGATATGTGTTAGCCACTTTTTTTACGGGTTGGGACAGGCGCCCCAGACATGCGGCCTCATGCACATCATCACCTAACCTAATGCCCTCCCTTAAATTTTTTGGCAAACTTTTGGATTAATATAATTTTGATTCTTAAAATTTGTACCTATTTTGATTTTATTTCTAAAATTTAAAATTACCATCGGCTATTAAATATTATCACTTCTTATAATAAAACTTAGCTTCTTTCACTAAGGCTAACAATCAATAAAAAAAACCGAACCGGCCTCCAGTCCGGTCTGGTTTGAAGAAAAAACCGGATTCAAATGAATCCGGAATGAAACGGAATAGACCGGGAAAAACCGACAAAAATTGGAAAAACCGTTGGGTTGGTGGGTTGCCGGTTTTCTTTTTTCCCCTTACTTCTTTTTTGACCGGAGCAGACATGGATACTGTTGAGAGAAATGGTAAAAGCAGAAAAAAAAATCACAAAAAGAAAGACCCATTTGAAAGTCTCTTGTGTGCCGCTTTGAACCCGTGCTCGCGGAAAAATGGAATGAAGAGTGGAAGGCAAGGAGGAAGATAAAGTAGAATGGATGTGCAAAGGGCAAAAAATTGTTACTGTTTACCATCTCTGTTTGAGGGAGAAAGAAACGAAGAGGGACGACTGGAGGAACAAAATCGAATGAGAAAGAGAAGAAGTATAAGTGTTTTAACTTTCAAGATGCAAATTTGAATCTGCCGTTAAGGAGGAGAAAGGCATAAAAAAGTGACCTCGTGATGTGTTATGGAAGAGAAAAAGTCAAGTGTTCACGTCAGGGAGAGAAAAGAAAGAGATAAGAGTATAAATTAAAATAATAATAAAAAGAAGAAGATTGTATTGGGTCGGAAGAAGAGGGAAAAGAGAAATAAAAAATTAAAAAAATTATAGACATAAATATTTTGTAATATCCTAAAAAATTATTTTGTAATATGAGTAGTCCTTCAAAATGTATTATTTTTCATAACTAAAATATAAATGTTTTTAATTATTTTAATTATTACCGGTTTAACCCGGTCTAACCCTGATCTGACCCATTGACCCTTAACCCACTATTTCGACCGGTTTAATACTCGGTCCGGTTTTTTATTCCTTGCCAACAATAATTGGTAGCTCTATATATCAAGGTTCAAAAAACTGGACTGGACCAGCCGGTTCAAGCCAGAAACCGGTGAACTGGCGTCTAGTCCGGTCTAGTTTAGCTTATGAACCGGCCTTGTAATAAACCGAAAAGAACCGGGATGGACCGAAAAAAATCAGTACAAACCGGAAAAACCGCTGGGTCAGATGGGTCGCCGGTTCCCTTTTCCCATCACTTCTTTTCCACTCTCACCATTTGCCGGAGAAGCTATGAAACATCTCGTGGTGGTCGAAGAAGCTGTACATACTGGACACTGTTGAGAAAAATGGTAGGAGCATAGCAAATCATGGAGAGAGACTCAGAAATTTGTTCAGAAGTCTGCTGCCTGCTCCTTTGATTATGCTTAAAGGCGAGGAGGAAGCTGGAAGTTAATGGAGTGGGATAAGCTGTGTATAAAGAAAGAAAAATAAGAATGGAAGAGCACGAGAGGCGTAAGAAGCAATTGAGAAAACGGGAGTGATGATGAGCGTTTTCAAAAATCAAAATGCAAAGTCTGACTTGGTGTGCGTGTTATGGTGGGAAATGGCAGTAGTATCACGTGGGGTGAGAAGAAAGAAGTAAAATAATAAAAAGATAAGAATTTTAATAGGTAAGGAGAAAAGAAGAAGGGATGAAATAGAATAAAAATATAAAAAAATTTATATATTTATTCATTTTAATTAATTATATTATTTTAATAAGTACTGGTTTGATCTCGGTTAGACCCCGATTTGACCCATTAACCCTTAAACCACTACATTAACCAGTTTAGTGTCCGGTCCGGTTTTTTCTTCCTTATTATATATACGTTTCCTCCTTATTCACAATTACTCAAAAGGCCATCAAATGACAAAAAAATCATAAAAAAGCCCGCCTACATATAAAGGCTTAGAGCAAGATTTCTTTTAGAGTTTGAAGCTGGATTAATTTTTAAGCTTGTTTCTTGTTCGTAAGTTTTATTTAGTTGGTTAATATATTAGTATTGTTCAGAAAAATATACATTTTTGGGGTAAATTTCAGCAAAACATTCTTTGATAATGATTGATTTCTCCCATCCTAAAATATTGTGGTCAATTTATATTTTAAAATTAATGCTATTTCAAACAATGAATCTACAGATAACAATCTTTATGTCATTGCTTGTCAGCCAAAAGCCTAATTTCCATGATACTAAACTAAAACCTTTTACATATAACTGGTTGCAAGCCCAGATAAAGTATAAAAGTTGTGTTAATCTGCTGAAAGCTAACGTGAAATTCTGTCAATTTTTTTTTTTCAATTTAAAGTATAGTGCTGTGCAATTTATGAGGTTGGCTCTATCTATTGGATAAAACTTGATTGTTGTAATGCGATATCAAGCATAAATTATCAAAATCATTTTAGTGAAGGTACAAATGGCTGTCCACAAAAATTAACAATGACATCAGCTCATATGACTTGAAGGTTTCAGAGAAGTTACACTCATACTTACAAATGTCACTACGCTAATTTGGAGCTCACTATGTATGAACTGAGAAGAATGGAGTTAGAGGCCTGTTCTATACTGGAGTTAGATAAACGTGACCTTGTATGAATATAATTTTGAAAATTGATATTGGATGAGAATAAGTATGGTTGACACTGCGATTTCCATTTGCCACTTCTTTTTATTAATAAAAATAACTTTTAAAGGAATTGATTTTGTTTAAATATTGTTTGTCAAAACCATCTTTGCATGTATTATTATCTTATATGGATATTATCGTTTTCTCTTTTTTTCCCACTGGATTTCTCTCCAATTTTCTTTTATTATTATACTTTATTAGTTATTAAATACTATCTCTGGTCCTAAATATAAGAGCTAGTTGACGAATTTGAGTAGATTAAGGAAAGAAGTTATGTTAGTTATTTGAAATAAATAGGTATTATTATTACAAGGACTATCTCAAGAAAAAACACATAAATATGAAAGATAAAGTAGATTAAAGTCTTATATTTAGGACCAAAATAAAAGTCAAACGAGGTCTTATATTAAGGACTGGAGGTAATACCGTTTAATTTTTAAATTTTATTTTAGTATTAAATAAAAATTATTATGCGAAACTAACAATAAAAGAACCTGGAAAATTTAAAATTTGCCAATAGATACTTGAATTGATTATAATCCCAGAAAAGTGCAAAATACTGAAATAGAATGTTAAAATTCTACCAAAAAGACACAAGTGCCCCTATTTATAATTTCTATTTCAAATTGAAAATTTGTTATTACTGGCTGAAATGTAGAAACCAAGCATTTTCTAAAGATATGATTTTTTTTCCCCTCATTTTTCCTAGTTTTTATGTTAAAGCGACTTGTTAGTTTTTATTCCTAAATGGGTAAAATGTATTCAAAAGTGATTATTGGTGTATCAAGTTTAAGAATTGACACTATTTCGTCCTTTCAGGTTATTCACAGCTTTCGTATTGATTTTGACTATATTTTATCATATATCAGCAACTTTCGTATAGCAATGTCATTCATAATTTTTATGTAAGCATTGACTATATTTCATTACCTATTAACAACTTTGGTTTAGCAAATTCATTCACAATTTTTATATAGATATTGACTATATTTTATTAGATATTAACTACTTGTCCAAAAATATTGGAAAAATCATTAAAAAAAAGATTCTAGAAATTGAAAAACTGCATATAGGGGTTTATTCACAAAAATTATTATCATTCGTTTATCAATTATTATCAAAATCCATAGTAATATTATAATAGCTTTCTATTTGTAATTTTTCTATTTTTACAGTTGACTACTAGAATATTCCTCCAACCAGCGGGGCCGTCGCACTAACAATTCACCTTTTTTACGTGTAAAGGGCATATGTGTCATTTCATTCTAACTTCATGATTTCATTTTAGGAATTTGTACCTTTCTTTAGGTACGTTTAGCAGTGGAAAAAGGATTACAAGTTCAAACCTAAACGGGCCAGCCGTTTAGGCCCGAATCCTATAAATAGAAGATTTTTTCAGGCCCAATTTTTGAGATGAAAAGCTCAAGATTGACTCGTGGGATTTTGACCCATTTAAATAAAATGTATTTTTAATTTTTTTTCATATTTTATTGAAATAATAAAAATAAAACAATAAAATTACTAATAAAAAATATAAATATAAATAAAATTAAGTTAGAAACATAAATATCATCATATTTAAATATCTATCACAGTACAATAGAGTCTATTGAATAAACAAACTAAAGGGAAGACAGACATAAACAACTAAATAAATACTAAGTTCGGTAAATAATTACAATGTACATTATTTAAATAATTAACAAAACAGTTTAACTAACAAACACGGTATACATAAAGAATAATCATCCCTAGTTCTAAATTCATTTTTAACTATAAAAATGATATAAATCTTTATTTTAATTCAAAATATTTTTTTACTTAATTCTAT